AGCTTGGTTCCCCCGCCCTCCCTCTGCAAGATCCTCTTTATTGTGTTGGGTAGCCTTTAAATTATGACACCTCATAAAGTGGAAAATCAGTAGCCCTAATTCTTTTAAAAATTTAACCTGATTTGGTTTGGGAAAGTAAGTTCCCGACATACTAACTTATCTACTTTTTCTTTCCTGGGTGTTTTAACTAGGGACTTTTATGGACTTTTATAGGCCTGGGGATCGTCTAGCTCCAGCCTTGTGGCTGGATTCCCATACAGACCCTCTCTCCACCCTCCTCCCCCCCAAAATAACTTTAGAAGACAATTATAGTTCCATACTATGAGGAAAGTTTTCTCACTTACTTTTTATGATCTGCTGCCTGCCATCATGTTGTTATGAGGGAATAGACCATTCCTTTTGGAAAGGGAGAAAAATGTAAACAAAGAGAAGAATCAATGGCCCTTTGACAATTTCAAGTTTTCTGAAACAGGAAATTGGAACAGTAGAGCCCTGATCATCTCAGGGATGATTATTCAGCTTGAGTGTTTGTCCATGTCTCTTGTTTTTAGGCTCCTTTGCCTTTTGTTTTTTGGATTTGAGGATATTTCATTGCATATTAGAACCACCACCTGGTGACATACAGAGGAAGAGAAAACTAACTCCATCTAGTCTGCTTTTAAAACATCAACAACTGTCCTGTTTTGATTGGGTAGAATAAAGTGAGGTTCTATCATCCACACAGCAGTTTTCCATCACCCCCCCAGTGGTTTGCAGCCAGAAGTAATTTTGCCCCCCAAGGGACATTTGTCAATGTCTCGATATATTTTTGATTGTCACGACTAGAGGGTGATATTGGAATCTAATGGATAGACATCAGGTTTGCTGCTTAACGTCCCCTGCAACAAACAGTGACCCAAAATAATATTAAAATATCAAAATATCAGGAGTGCCAAGACAGGAACACCTGCTATAGATAATTGACCATGTGCACTGTCCCTTTTTAGTACGATAAAAACTAAGTTAAGTAATACTGTTGATCATTACTTGACTATATTTAAAATTATCTGTTTGCAGATACATTTATATAGCTCACCGGTCACTTCCTATCTGTGTTTCCAAAGTTTGTCTAGGTAGGGTTTCTCAACAATGAATATTCTCTATCAAAATAAAAACTGTGAAGTATCACCAGCACCTAAGGACACAACCTTTAACACAGTGAAAAATGGAGTTTACACAAATCTCATTTGCCCCTGACTTTCAAGAGATTTGCATAAAATCAGGAGTACCTGCCTAAGGGATATGTTATTTTACTTTGTCCATCTCAAATAGATATTAGTATATTCAAGTTGCCTAGGAACTTGGACTTTTTTCTAGTCTATAGGAGTATTCCACTGGCTTTGAAATACTGCCTAAAATGAAATAAACACTCTTTTTAAAATGATCTAAAAATAAATAAGAGATTAATCCCCTCAAGAATTTAGAGCAAGACCAGTTCCCTTCTTGTCACATTTTTAGCTGGACCTCGGGACAGAGTTCTGAAGAAAGATGTTTGACTTTCCCTTTTCCCTGAGTCAACCACAGACCCCGTCACTAGGTTGCCTGGTCGACCAGCTACCCTAAAGTAACCTTTCCACTTCAAGTAGCCCTCAAAATGTAAGATGGTGGGACAAGAATAGGAGCTGACATTATCAGCATTATTCATAGCACAGTGGAAAAATCTTGTGTGTTCCACCAAACAAGCCGATCTTGTCAGGTTTCTTTTGTGTGTTGGAATGCTGATAGGCAAGTGCCAAACAGATCTGAGGTTGGAGGCCATAGTTTGAACCTAGTTCATAGCGGAGTGACCATGGATCTTTTATAAGACAGAACAACATGTGGTCTGGCTAGTATTCTAAGTGTGGAAAGAGTTCTAAGATAGGAACAACCTAGTGGCCTCCTCATGCCCGGAACATCTTTAGCATTTCACTCAACCCACTGTTGACAGTTCACATATTTTTTGCAATCCTCAAAAAGAGCCAGGAAGTTCTACCCATTGGAATTTATGCAATGAGGAAATGTTATATATCTACTGCGTCCAATTCACTTGACCGCTAGCCATACATAACTATTGAGCCCTTGAAATGTGGCCAGTGTGCCTGAAGAAATTAACTTTTGATTTTTACTTAATTTTAATTTAGATAACCACATGTCCTCGTGACTGCTGTAATAAACATTGCCAATGTAGGAAATAATAACTCATTCCACATCTCAATTATAGATGCCCTGATTCCTTTTTTCTTTTTTTTGTCTCAATTATAAATATAACAAAATTAAAGAATGCTTAGAAAATAAGGGAAAATTTGGTTCAATACTCATAATTTCATGAGCCTAACATAAAAGTAAATTTTCAAGGTTTTTTTTTTCCGTGTACTTCCAGCTGTAATTTATCTTATTTTAATTTTAATTTTATCTATGATAACCAGCTTTTTTTCACTTAACACTATGAGAGAAATAGACTTTCACACTACTAATATCCACAAGCTATCAGAGTTAATGTTTGCCTATTTCTTAGACTACGGTACCATAGTTTATTCATTTCCTGTACAATATTTTTAGATTTTGGGTTGTTTCATTGCTTTTGCATGCTGGCTTACTTGCCTGCTGGTTTGGTTTTATGGTCATTATCAAATTTCGCTATAGCGAACACTTGAAAGCATGTTACTATTTCTCCTTTTTAGAATACAATTACCTGCTACATGCTTGAGTCTTACTTAGGTAATGGTTCACAGGGCTAATCATTCCACCACCCCAAATTCATTGTGGAAAAAGTACTTTTCCGCTATTCTGGTGGAAAATAGACTTTAAAACTGCCAAAAAGAAGGAAAGCCAGGACTTTTCTCTCTGCAGCACAATTTATTCAGTAAATTAGGAGACAGATTACTATTCTTTCCCCTATAACAATAAACATTACTGATAAAATGTAACTGCATTCAGGGCAGATGACATAGACCTTTGCTTTGCAAATGAGGACTATGTTCCCCGGCAAAAATCCTGCAGGTAGAAAACCCTGCCAATAATCTCTAGAATCTATAAAGGTGAAAAAATGAACAGAGATAAAACAAAAACAAAAACACCGCCCTTCATCTTGTCCCTTGTAAACATATATATATATTTATATATATACACAAAATATATATATTATATATATAGCATATATATTGTGTATATATATTTTATATATAGTATATATATATATTTTATATATAGTATATATATCTTATACATATAATATATACAGTATATGTTTTATATATAATATATAGTATATATATACTATGTATATACTATGTATATTATTATACATAAAATATATATATGTGTGTGTATATATA